AGTAATATTTTCGCAGAACACGAGCAATCGGGCCTGTCTGGAAGAGCTTGACAGTCCTGAATGTGACCTACCTAGAAATTTATCAATATCTAAGCAGTAATCCCAAGCTCTTATAACGACAGAAAACCTGATCTAGTTGCCCCCATTTTTGTCCTCTGCTCCAGGCTTCAAGGCAACAACTATGTTTGCAGCAATGGCAGAGGCCAATAGATAAATCTGTCAAGGGTCTTAAGATTATGTTGCCCTGGAAGTATCACATGCAGAAATGACAAGCCACTAACAATTATCAGCAAATTGTGAAACCAGGAGACAACTTAAACTAGAGGTAGAAGGTGTTCAGAGCCGGCTATTCCACCATATTCAGAATGACCAGGTCATACTAGAGAATTGGACAACAATCCTTAAAACAGATCAATAGTTTACTTCAGCCATTTCAAGGCAGTATGACACAGAGCCTCATACGCTTTCAATATAGATAATCAGCTACAAAATCATCTTTGGGGACTGTCATGAATGCCAAGAGGAAATGTGTTAAAAGTGCCAATTGAAACGATAGGCTGCATTTGCATGGAACTCCAACAAAGAAGACACTTGCGAGAAACATGTAGGACTCGATGTAATTACAATATTACATAGAATATCACAGTTCGAGCATGCCTGCACATGCACCTACAATTTCACACTAACAGACTTTAATATGTAATGCACAAAAAAATACCATGCCCATGCCAACCAAGAAATTGGAAAAAATCTAAATTCACCAAAATAAATGTGTGAATCACCTGTTGCTGGTTCTACCTAGAGATTTTAAATACACAATCCTCACAGCCCACACAATTGAAGAACACAATAATTAATATGTCTGTTCCGGATCAATGAATACAGAATAGACCACTGGATTCTCATTCGTTACAACTTCCTTCTCCACTCGCCATGCCATGTTATCAGGATCAAAGGGAATTTCTTAGCCCCTTTTACCCGGCAAGCACTTTCTCTTATCAAAATGAAGCCAAAGCTTGCCCAACCTAGTAATAAAGGGGGCACGCTAAAACTCAGTAATTAATCTGAGGTATAAAAACTGTACCAAAAATGACTAACATGAACATAATACAGATGCGTTAGTGGAGCAGATTGAGGTCTCCCCACCTGGTAAGATCTAATTTACAAAGCTTCTGCAAAATTCAAACATTCTGGTCGAGTTTTTAACAAATGGTGGCTCTGTAAAATTCAAACATCCAAGTCCATAATTTTACCAAAGTTCCTCCATTTGTTAAAAACTCAACAAAAGTTGATTAAATTGGCTGACTTATTTATCACAATAGCTCTAGTTTTGTGAAAAAGGATGCAACAAGGTGAGTGTATTAACACATTTAGCTTGTAAATGACTAAGAACCAAGCCAAAAGCAAATGGTTCCCTATTAGATGGACTATTGTCCAAAGTCAATTGAAAAGGAAAACATCACAATATTCCAACAACTGAATTATCAATTGCATGCATGTTCTTCATAATCCTATGAATAGCTGTGCAGTCCTTGCATCAAATATTTCGGAGTTGGGATATCTAAAGAAAAGGAATGGGAAAGGGGTAGGGAAAATAAGAATATTTGTAAATTAGCACTTACTTTCTGTAGTTCTCAAGAAAACTTATACATGGCCCTCATGAATAGCTGGAAGCATGGGCCATCCCAAAAGATTTGAGTCCTAATAAAAACTGCCACTAAATCACAATGCCATTAATTAAAATTTGGAAGCCTTCCCAATCAATGTTCCATGTATTTCTTCTGCCACCATAATTTTCCTTGAATTTAACTCTTGGGAGTAGGGGCAAAGCCGGGAATATTGTTTAGGGTGGACACTTTAATTACATACTCTAATTTTTTTTTTCTCCTAAATAATCACACTATATAATATATTTATATTTGTTATATCATATTTGATACATGAAGTCCATTTAACATAAAAAAGAGTCAAAAAATAATGTATATTGTATATGTATAAAAAAATGACTAATTATCACCATTGTAAAAAAATGGAGTCAATTGTCATTTTTGAAATTTAAAAATATTAATTATTCACTAACAATTCATTAAATTTATCATTTATTCCAAACTTTATCACTAAGATATTAGCATAGTAAAACTACTAAAATAAATTAAAGAGCTAAGCATAGTAAAAAAATTGAAAATTGCTTGACACATAATAAAGACTATAATCAATACTCGAATAGAAATAGAGTCGATTTCTCGTACGAAAAAAAAGTCAAATGAAGTTCAATTGCAAGAACTTTCCCTTACAAAAATTCATAAATAATAAAATTAATGTCATCTAGAGAAAGTCTTAATACAATAAAAAAGACTAAACAATTGAAATAAGAAAATTATAGGACGGGTATAAGTAAAAAATATATTTATAATTTTTAGAATATATAAATATAAGTATACATATAATATTTTCTTAAAAAAAATTGAGGGTGGGCCCGTGTCCACCCTCACCCCTGTGTAGCTCCACCCATGACGGGAGATATTTTCACAAAGTAGAAATATAACGATTCCGAATCTAAATTTCATTTTAAAGTTTAGTGCCAATTTCCATAGAGAAACTCTTGGCCTAAGAAGCACAATGAAGGTGTTGTGTCCATCACATAGACAGATTCTTACATCTACCGGATGCTCTACTAGCATAGGATCCATATGGCCATATGAATAACCTAAAAATAAAATTCACAATTACTAAGACTTCTTAGATGCTCACTATGCAACCAACACCGAGTGGGAGTTAAAATAGGATTTTTTAAGCATGAAAAGAAGTATAGGTGCTACGAGTAAAAGATGAATGGTATCTCCATTATTATTTATGATTGCTATGAGTTGTCCATAACTTGTAGGTGTGAAAATGATTATAATGCATAAGATCCTCAACCATAGATTCAAAGCAAACTAATATTGAGGCCTTGGGTTGTCATACTAATACAATTATAAGTATTTTCTGTACTATATATAATTATATATAGAAAACCATAATTGTTTGTTGATGTGCCTTGTGGTATCAATGTCCTACACATTTGTTGTTCAGCGTGTCCATGTCTTGAAGTATCAATGTCCCACGTCACAGTCCTTGCTTCGTAGCTCTGAGCTTCATAGGTCTGAGCTGCACACAAATATTTTAATGCCACACTATTGGTATTCCTAGGAATCGTTGGTGGAGCTATTTATCTAAAAGAAGATGCTTTCCCCTAGTCAGAAGCAACTTTGAAACCAAATTTGCTTTTGCATCTTGCTTTCTTTATTTTCTAAAACAACATTTTTTTCTTCATAAAATAGGAGGTAGACCTCTTTCAGAACAAAAACCTAAAAAGAACTACCGCCTACATTAAAGTTCAGATGTATGTGCACATTTTTAATATAATTTTTATGAAATCTAGGAGTTGGTTATTAGAAGATTATTAGTCAGTAGTTATTGATAAGAGTATTCTGTGGGTAGTTTTCTAGGTGATTACTAAGATAGTGGAGTCCTGGTTAAGTTAGTTATTAAGGTAGTTTTTATCATTTAGTATTTAAAGGCTTTTATATCAATGAAAATGGTATGTTGAATATTGCAATAAACTTTCTTATAAAATTTTGGAGATCTGGTTCTTCTCGAATTGAACAAACAGAGTTTCCAACCCTACTTAAAGTGGATTTTCTTCCCCTATTCTATTTTTAGTTTTATTTATATTTTCCCAAAAAGTGTGCACATAACAATTAGTATTAAAGCCGGTTATCCTATTGATGGCCATCTTGGAGATTTTGAACTTGATGTACGAAGATTTTCAAACAACATTCAAGAGATTGATTGAATTAAATCAACACATGCAAGAAGGCTTCGACAAACTTTAAGAAAATTTTTCAAGAAGGCTTCGACAGGCTTAAGAAAATTTTTCAAGAAGAAATTTTGAATGCAGATCAATACCATCAATCGACTGGCCAAGAGGAAAAGTTTATGAGGTATCAAGCAAGGGATTGGTGACATTGTAATAAGTGAGGCTAAAATTTTAGATGCTATAAAGTTCAATGTTGCAGTTCAAATGATTTTTGGTGAAAAAATTGAATATTTTGATTGTTATAAGGTAGCATGGAAATGGGTTGGCCTTCCCCTTGATTAGCCATTCCATATACTCTGCTTGTAACACATTGAGAAACTTACTCCTAAACCCCTCAATTACTTCAGTTGTTACTTGTTAGCATTTTGCCTCCTTTTCTTCTGGCGTCTCTCTTTTCGTTTCTCTTTGTCTATATCTTTGGTCTTTATCTACCAAATCCTTTTCATCTTTGTTATTCCCTTTTTTTTGTTTCTTCCTCCGCATGGCTGCAAAGTCTATAGCAACCTTCTTCTGTCTTAGAAAAGCATCTAATCTTGCTTTTGATTCAGCTACCCAAATTAATGGATTGTTCGTGTCTATAATATTTGTGTCACATTTTTTTTTTGTGGAACCTCGACGGTGGGAAAGAGATTTTATTGATTAAAAATTAAATTACACCTAGTTAGAGGGCGCGTATGTACCTTACCCCTCAAATCAATCTAATTACAGTGCAATAAGGAATTAAAAAATTCTAATGCATGCTATTACATGGAAATATTAAAATATTCTAGAAAGCATAATTTCCTAAAATAATCATATCCAATGCAACTTGCTTGAAATATGCCAACTGAACCCACTGCCGAAGAAATGCTGAGCTGAACAGTCACGTGAATAGTGACATGAACAGTCCAGCTGTGACATAAAATAATGCTGAGAGTGGTCAGCTGCTTCATCCAAAATATTAAAACTACTCTGTAAAAATAGTCTGCCACTTTGTCTGCCAACTGCTGTCCGAAAAAAGGAGCTTTGAGAGTAGTCGCTGTCTTAAATTAAGGCCAGCTGAAAATACTAGCTGAGATGAACTTAAATGAGCCACAAGCATTAACAACCAGAAGAATCCGAAGAGACATAAGGCCAAGAGGAAGCATCTGAAGAGGAGAACCAGAAAGCCAATTAAACCAAGAGCTTTCAAAATCTGATGCATAAGAAACCATGGAGAGTTTTCCACAAAAATCAGTTGAAGTGGAGAAGAGGGATTCGAGTTCTGGTGATCTCCAAAACATAGAATTAAGTGATGATGATTTCCAAAACGCAGTACTAAACAGATCCTCTTCCTCCAACCAGAAGAGCAGAATTCAACAGAGAATAACCTGCAGCAACAAACCAGCATATCTGGCATTTCTGGCAGAGGAATTCCAACTGTCGAGGCAGAAGACCAAAAGCCCTGAAAGTGATCCTGAGGAGAAGAAAAACAGGTGATTGCTCCATCTTTCTTAAGTTGAGCGGACTGTTGGTTTTGATTAAACTATTAGAATGAATGTCCTGATCTGCATCTGTGTGTTGCATATCTGTTATTGAACTTTAACTTTAGATCATACTGACTTGATTTGCCTCTGATCCTGCATTAAGAGCTGTCTCAGATATAGATGTAGTGAATGAGAAGAGGTGTGAGTATGAGAGGTATTGTCACAGACTCCTTGGTTGGCCAAAAGAGTCTGCAACTGCGTTACGCTCTCTATAGGAATGCTGTATTCGATACTCAAATCGTCAAAGAATGGAGAAAATCCTACGAAAGAGTCCAAAATTTCCAAGATGATGTTGACCGATATCTCTGATCAAATCCACTAGAACTTGAGAGTCCGTTTCGATAATCAAAGGATAGACCCCCAATCCATAATCCTGTACAAGCAGTAGACCATCCAGTAGTGCTAAGATTTCAGCTTCCATATTAGTGCAAGTTCCATAGTAGTAAGATCCAGCTAGAATCATCTTACCCCACTCATTTCGTAAAACCAGTCCCCCACCTGCCTGACCTGGCTTACCCTTTGATGCACCATCAGTATTTAGTTTAAGCCAACCTTGTGGAGGAAAATTCCAGCAAATCCATTTGGATCTCCAAAAAACCTTAGTGCATAACCTGACAGTAAGGGACTGAAGCATAGATAAATCCCAGGTAGTATCCACAACTTTGGGCTTGTAAATGCTCACTTGTAACCTGAGTAGATGAATGATAAGCGACAACAAAGAACTGATAGGCTGATTTTGGTTTTCAAAGACTCTATAGCCTCGTTCTTTCCATAATTGCCAGAAAACCATCAAGGATATACCTCTTATTAGAGTATGACTTCTGGATTGCCTAGGATGAGTCCTACACAATCTATTAAATCTGGACAGTGGGGTCTCTGAGGGAAACACTTGAAAACCAAACATTCCTGCAATTTTGAAACAAAGCTGAGAGCTATATTGGCAAGATATGAATAAGTGAGTAGCTGACCCTCCCCACAGTAGCATAAAGAACATCTGCTTGCTAATGAGACCCCCAAGGACTTAAATTTTAAGTCCAATGGAAGAGCATTCTTCATAATCTTCCACCCAATTAACTGTGCACTAGGAGTAGAGTGCTGCTTCCAAATTCTAGTAGCCTGGTCAACCTGAGTGCCCCTTCTTCTAGATAGTTCCCAAGCTGTTTTGATAGAGAAATTCCCAAAAGTAGAAGACTGCCAAATGAGTTTGTCCTCATGCTCAGAGAGGATAACTCTGGTAGAATGGACCTCTTGTAGTAGATTCTGATCTATATGTGCTACACTTTGAAGCTGCCATTGACCTTGAACAAGACGCTCAGAAAATTTCGGAAAGTAGTCTGGTGTAGTTGAATTTCTTAGAATGAGAGGGCCTCCACCTGTCCAGTTATCACACCAGAACCCACTAGCTTCTTTGAATTCTTAACATCTTCAAACCAAGGAGAAAGAACTTTGAAACATCTGGACTGAATTCGACTGTTTTGCAACAATAAGTGATTTTCTCCTAGGGACTTGGTAGTAAAGAAGGAAGACCATAGAGAGCTATTTTGCAATAAGTTCCATACCTGCTTCATCCTAAATGTATTCTGGACATCCTCAAACTTTCTAATTCCCAAACCACCTTCAGAGAATGGTAAAGTAACTAACTCCCATGACCCCAAATGTCTTTTCCTTTTATTTGTCTTATTAGACCACAAAAAGAAGACATGGCAAAATTCATTCTAGCTATGATACCCTTGGGTAGGTTCAGAGAAGCTAGCAGATGTATGGGGAGGGAACATAACACCGATTTAATAAGGACAACTCTACCCATATTAGAAAGATGTTTAGCATACCAACACTCCAACCTCGACTGAAATTTCTTCAATATATCTTCGAAATAGAGGAGCTTGACTCTCCCCCTAATAATTGGACAACCCAAGTAGGTAAGAGGGCATTCTTTAAGAGGAATGTTTGCAACCCGTGATAACATATTTCTCCTTACCGCTGAGATTTTAGAAAAACAATAGAGAGAATGTGGCAACCAGATGAATGCTCATATCTCCCCACAAATTTCAAAAGATTAGTCATAGATCTCTTACGCCCCTTCAAAAAAATGAGAATATCATCCGCAAACAATAGATGACTTAATAGCTTTGAACCCCAGCCAGTGTGATATCCTTCTATTAAGCCCTGCTCAAATTGGAACCTCAAACCTCTGCTCAACACCTCCTTTGCTAGGATAAAAAGCGAAGGTGATAGTAGATCACCTTGTCTTAATCAATGTTATCTGAATTGTGAGTCGCTTTGGCACGTGGTACGAGTACGGGTACATGGTAAGACACTTTCTTAGGTACACTGTACGATGTGGTAGGTTTAATTGGTACGATATTTTGGGTCACAATTCATTTTGAAACTCTTATATAGATCGTTTTCACTACTGTACAACATTATATATAACAAAACATTCATAAACACTAAATTAGTTATCATTTATTTTATAATTATGCTTGATTTTCTATTATCTAAAATAATATATAATTATAAATCTATATACATGTAGTCAATTAATATGTATTTTATAATTGTGTTACATGTTCTAAAACAAATTGAGTTAGGGTTAGTATTACAATTTGGGATCGTCTATTTTGGTGATCCAGATCGCGAACCCACCTTAATTGGGATTGATATACCTAGATCATGAGTCGTTAAAGGTTTAGTGAATTGTGGTAACCATGATCTTCATCCTCTAGAACTGGGAAAAAAGCCGCACACCATTTATAGTTAAAGAAATATTCTAATGACTCAGACAATTAGAAACAATTGCAACAAAATCTTCGGAAAAACCAAAACTCTTCAATGTTTGTTTCAAAAAATCCCACTCCAATCTATCAAATGCCTTCATCATGTCCAGCTTTACAATAACATTCCTCCACATTTCTATCTAGCTCATTCATCATAAACTGGGCTAGGGCAATACTATCACTCATAGTTTTTCCCTGAACGAATCCATGCTGCTCCTTTGAGATAAGCTTAGGCAGCAAACCACTGAGTCTAGTTGCTACCAGCTTTGTGAAGATTTTTGTATAAAAAGTTACATAGACTAAT